ACTTTTCAAGATGTTCTACTAAAATTTGAGATTCAGTCCTCCAAAGGCAATGTGATAGAAGATAGGATCTAGTTGTACACAATCAATATTTAGCTAGAAATTATGACTTTTCAAAATGTTTCACTAAAATTTGAAATTCACCCTAAATAGTCAAACAATTTCACTTTTTACATTCTAGAATATGCCATTTTACAGGTCAGGAGCAATGTGAATTGAACTAAATATGAAAATAAAAATTTCAGATAGAATACTAACCAAGAATTGTGAGATTCATCGAGAAGCGGAACCTCATCGAGGAAGCATTGGAAAAGGAGTCGACGGCATACCTCATCTGAGCGAAGTGCCCTGACATGGTTGGAGCGGCGGTGGCGAGTATGGTGGCATCGGCCGGCCCTCGTTAAGTCCCAGGATCGTATCCACCCTATGATAAAGACTTCTAATTTATATATGCATTTTTGACATCACACCCAGTAGGGTATGACACACCTTTTAACACTGTTAGTATATATAATAAGCATTCAAAATGTTTAGTCTAGTTCCATGTTAGTATAATGAAATAAAACTGAAGTAAAGTGCATTATTTCTCTGCCATTACTATGTTTAATCATAGTAAAAAAAAAAGAGGAGAAAACGTAAATGACAGCAATGAACATTTCTATCATTCCGTTTGTCATTTGTATAATGAAATTTTCGCCCATAAATATGTATGAATGGATGACAAATTTTACATAATTAAGTGAGCAAAAAGAAGTGCAATATTTTCTTTTAATCATAGTGTTCTCAAATCACTACCCAAACAAAAGAGTGAAATTGCATTTAAATCACAATGTTCACCATTTTATATTACATAATACCAAAAATGGATTTTATGAAGAGAAAGAACTTTTCTTTTTAACAATACCTGTATATGAACTAATCTAAACTAAGATTAATAAGAATTGAAGTAAAAATGCATTATTAATCACCCATTAAACTAAGATTTTGGATCTCATTAAAGGACTGATGAAAGAACAAAAGCTTTAAAGTAATACTCAAATCACATCTAGATAAAGTTGCACTCCGTCTTCTCAGCCTTCTCTTATTATAGCCCTTAAAGATTGTTAATGACATCTGACTATTAGTAATAAAGGCATCAGAATAAAGTCACTATGCATTTATAATTTATAATCTATTATAAACATCTGAGAAGTTTCTTTATAGGTCAACTCCATGTGTATACCCGGTTGTACTACCATTACTGGTGAACTCTATGTGTTAAGGACGAAGTATACTTCAATTTCTCATGAAATACCAGAGCATTCATGGCACACACCCAATTTATGGGCTAATGTAATCAAACAGTGTATGAAATACTCTACAAAATAGGGGACTAAATCAACATAGGGCTTGAGATTTGAACATAATATTTTGCAGATGAAAGACTCGAAACATAGGGCTTTTGCTAGAGATATGTATATGTATGTATAATTATATATGTATATATAATATGCGAAATTTGAGAGAGTTATACCTCGGTAGGACAGAATTTGAAAATTAGCACGTAGTACTAACAAAGAATTAGAAACGTTGTGGAACTGTTGTGGCTAGCGCGTAGAATGAATAACTCTGTTGTGAACCGTAAGAAGAGTGGGCTTCGACTTCAGGAACTTCTTAAGTCAGATAAATCTGAATTCAGGAGCTGTAATCGAGAGTGAGAATGGTGTTGAAAGATTTCTGCGAGTTCACGTGAGGAGCCGTAATTTGTAAAGTTGGCCAGAAAAAGCGAATCTAATCCAGAAGAATAGAAGAGTAGCTGTATTTACGCAAATGTCCCTGTTTCATGAGCGGGAAACCTGACTTAAGTGGTTTAATATATATATAGATATAGATTCCAATGTTTGGAGATCATTCTTATTTCTCTCATAAGATAGGTTTCTTATGTGAACCAAAATCATATATATATACTCCCACCGGTGGACGTAGCTCAACTGGTAGCGAGAGAGTGTCACAAGAGTTAGGTCTCGGGTTCGAATCCCGGCAACTGCGATGAGGGGTTACTATTAGAGCCGTCAAAACGGGCCGAAACCCGCGGGTTGGCCCGTTTCAACCCATTTATAAGTGGGTTAGGGCTATCATTTTCAGGCCTGATTGTTTTGCGGGCTCAGTGGGTCAACCCTAACGGGTTGCGGGTTTAGCGGGCCAACCCGTACGAGTTGAGGGCCAACCCGCGGGCTGAGGACAAATATCATTTATTCTATGTATTTTTAATTATATTATTTCTATATAAGACAATTATATCTTCTATTATACTCTCTCTTTACTTCTAGTTCTTTCCTCACTTCTAATACTAATGTATTTTGTTCATGATATCCAAATTAGACTAAATAAATGTATTTTTAATGTATTCGTTGCTATATTGTTTTATAACATATGGACTTCTATGCTGTTTTATTCATGATATCCAAATCAGGCTAAATAAATGAGAAATTAGGTATTTGCGGTATTTCAGCTTAAGTATACCCACAATAATACATAAAAGCTTTTAAGTATTTCATCTTTTAACTTTTTAAGTATACCACTTACCCACGATGATACATTCAAACATACAACCAAAGGATTTTCAAGCACTAATTTTTTCCTTTTTAATTGTGTTTGGATTTTAATTTAAATATTTAATTGCTATTACAATTGTGTTTGGATTTTAATTTAGATATTTAATTGTTTTTTTTGTTTTGACATTTATGGCCCGCGGGCTGGCCCGCATAACCCGTGGGTTAGGTGGGTCGGGTTAGGGTCATAAAAATTTTGGCCCGATAGTAAGCGAGTTGGCCCGCCCCGACCTGTGAAACTCATAACCCGCCGCGGGTCGGGGCGGGTCGGGGCGGGTCGGGGCGGGTTGGCCCGTTTGACAGCTCTAGTTACTATGCTGAAAAATGCACAGGGCTTCTGCAACTACCGGGGACAGAGCCCCACTCTCTATCTGTCAGATTGTGATTATAGTCCAATTTACATCCTCCCATCGTGCCGTTCGGTCGGTGTTGGGGGGCCCTCAGGGATGGGGTGTCATCCTTATATATATATACTCCCTCCGTCCCATTGGAATGCACATTTCTCTCTCCTCTGCACAAATTTCAACCACACAATTTTTACTATTCTTATTTCTCACCTACTTTGCACTTGGCAAAGTCCACTGAGATGGAGGTAGTATATATACATACATACATATATATATATATATATATATATATATATATATATATATATATATATATATATATATAGAGAGAGAGAGAGAGAGAGAGAGAGAGAGAGAGAGAAGTGCTCACGTCTAGCAGAGAGGAGGGAGCCACCGCCCTAACACGGCCGTTTGAGGAGGTTACCGGTGAATTTTTTTAATGAAATGTTTTTAGCATGTTCCTCACCAAGCCTACTTTATCCACACAAAATTTCAGCTCAAAATTCGTTCGAGAAGGTTGTCAAACAATTTTTTGAAGTTGATTGCGCAAAATTATATATAGAAAACGCAGTCAACTTCAAAAAATTATTTGACAGCCTTCCGGATCGAATTTTGAGCTGAATTGTGTTGTGGATAAACTAGATTTGATGAGGAACACACTCAAAAATATTCAACAAAAAAATCCATTGAGAACCACCCCAAAAGGCGGTGTTCGAACGGCGGCTCCCGTCCTCCCTGCTAGACCTGAGCACTTCTCTCTCTCTCTCTATATATATGTGTGTGTGTGTGAGTGGGGGGGGGGGGGGGTGCATGCGTGCATGCATGCTTGCATGTATATATGTATTAAAAATAGGGGCTACACCGGTTGTTTGGCTTAAATCCTCCGCTACAGAAGTAACAAACCAGACGAAACAATAGAGTTATCAACCAAGTAGGTCATGTGACAAAGGCAAAACAACAACCAACAGTGGCGGAAATCCCAATTGATATTTATTAGAAAATGTATTTCATATTGTTATTGTTTTCTCAATTCTCAAATGTACTTCCTATTTCAAATAAATGCACTTGAATTTTGTTTTTAATAAGAATTATTATAATAATATAATATATATATATTTTTTAAAAAAATTATATATTATATTATTATAATAATTCTATATATAATAAAATTATATATTATATTATTATAATAATTCTATATATTATATATTATATTATATTATTATATTATATATAAGGCCCGGCCCGGCGGGTGGCCCGGCCCGTGAACCGGGCGGGTGACCCGGTCCGAACCGGACCTGGGTTTACCCGGGCCGGTTCCGGGCCTCCCATATCTTGAACCGAGGCCCGGCCGGTTCAAGGCCTAAACCGGGCCCGGCCCGAACCGAGTCCATCCCTACAGGCCACCCCCCAACTCCCCTTGACAAACAGTCATGTAGAATGATTTCAAATCAATATGTGGCTATCGTCGATCAAAATGTGATTTATTTATATTGTAATAAGACGGGTCAATTCCAAATATAAACTTCTGTAATCACTTCTAGCCCAACTAAGAATCAGAACCAACACGGGTAATGTCGACCAACCAGCACCACTACTCCACATTTCAGTTAAGGTTTAGAGCCAAACCTCAACAGTGCACCGGCGGTCCGGCCCCCATTTGCATTGGTAAATCAGGCTGAAACCACAAACCAAGATGAGAGAATTTACCTCTAATTTCTGAATTTACTTAGCCAGCCTCAATCATTTGGAATCAAATTTCAGTAATGGTGTACAAGTAATTCAATGTAATATGGTTTGCAAAGTTCTAGATAATAGCTAACAAATTTTGATAGGAAGCAGTACATGCCCCCCCCCCCCCAAAGCAAGATGAGAGAGTTTGCCTTGTTCTAACTTTTTTAGGCAGCTTCAATCGTTTCATTCATTTGGGATTAAATTTCATTAATGGTGTACCACTACCAGTAATACAATGTACGTAGTACTATCTAATATGGTTTGCAGATTTTTAGAGAATAGCAAACAAATTTTGATAGGAAACAATGTACCCCCCCCCCCCCCCCCCCCCTCACACACACACATTATAAAAAAAATTGCTCACAAAATTGGCATCCAGAGTCCAGCCATACAGACCTTACTGTACTATAAATGGCTCTTCAGCACTGACAAGGAACCCGATTGCTGGTTCAGTGCCAGGGCAGAGAGGTCCCCAAATGCTACAATCGACACTGTAATGGCTATTTGAAACAAAACTAACCAATCAATCTGTAGAAAACCCTACACGTTCACAATCCTAAACGGTTGTAGGGTAACCGACATCTGCTGGAAAAAACTTGCACGAAATCAGACCAAAGATTCAGTGTGAATTTCAAGTGGGGATGTAATAATCTAGAAGTTGCAACAACGAACACGGCCCTTGAGTAGATTGTCCCACAAGCACTCCATTTGTCGTGGAGATTGGTAATGCGCGGTGAAGTAATTCTCTGTACATCCATACTGACAGAACTTCCAGTTGTGAGAATACTGGACGGGGTTTGTGCTGTTGTACTTCTCCACCCACATTCCCATGCTCACATCCTCCATTTTGAATATCTGTCAATTTCAATGAGAAATTTAAAATGCGGGGAAGATTTAGAGTCCATTTGGGAGACGTTACACAACGAATGTGCTAAATTTGTTGCTAAAATGGCTGAATGATCTAAAATATTTTAACACTCTTATTAATATTAATTACGAAGATAATGACCCTATTTGGCTCAAGATCCAGATTTTTTACAAGACACTGTCTAATTATCAAAATAACTAAGGTTAGAAGTACTTCTCTATCTAAAGTTACCAAAAAGAACAATTTTAACTTTTTTTGTATACCTTTTGCTTTAGTTCATTAATAAAATATATGTTAAATATAAAATTTCATAATTTCATAATTCAAGTGTTGAATTCAGCCACGAATTCAACAAATTCAGCCAAATCTAGTGTTACCGAATGGGGGTCTTAACTTCTGCACGTGTTTTCCATTATCAGCTGTTTCAACTAGCGTAGTGCAAAATCTGGCTGATGAACAGAAAATGTTGCCTACCAAACGGGCACATAGTATTACATTGATACCGAGGAAGATAAAGGAGTTTTTTTATCACAAACCCGTAAACTGTGATTGAGATGCTGAGAGGAGATATATTTGGCAATATCATTGGAAATGATGTATCCAGGCCCATTAGCATAGGGAGGATAAACATCTTCTGGCCACTCCTGTTTACATAAATTAATACAAGGGCTGATTTTCAAAATAAGTTGTCAACGTGATTTAATGTTTGCATATATAATGCTAATGTCATTCACCTCTACATACCTCAGCACTGACTGCCCATTTTCCGTTTCTCAGAGGTCGGTGCAAGAGATTCAGATTTCCCATGTAAAGAGGCTTTCTAGGAGGAAGATGATTGATTTCTTGAAGAACAGCATCAAGTCTTACAAAGTTATCATCATCGCATTTCATAATGTAAGAAGCGGTCACATTTTGAACCTGGAATGAGTTCTCGGACACATGAATTGAATAACTAAGCACAACGGATAGGGAGAAAGATGTCAACATTTTAAATAGGAAATGAGCACTACTTACCCCAAACTCACAAATGGCAATAGTCTTGAGAACCACTAACTCATATCTATCCATAAATGGCAATATTACTATGTCCCCGAAGTATGTAGCCTCTTTTTTTAAAATTGCATTCAACTCCTTCCTTGGATTCTGCATATATTATTTGAAATTTCATCCAGTTGAGGAAATGAAACAGTTGAAACCTACTTTTCTAAGGAAAACAATATTGATATTTGTTGCCAAACATTTCATCTTTGTGAGAAAAGCATACAATTTCCGAAACCATCAAACTATTATTGGTTAAATAATACGTAGTAAGAAGTATCATTAGTTGACATATGAAATTTGATCTAGAGGAATACAACTTGGCAGGGTTAGACCTCCCTTTACTTCCCATAACACTTCTGATATAATAACAAAAGAGGAAATAGTTATAAGCACTATTTACTTCAAATTCCTCCCCAAAAATATCCCAAACAAAATATATCCTAAGCTTCATGTTTTGGCACATCCATATGAACGATCCACAAACCTTTCATAACTAAATAGTTGTGGGAAAAGAACGAAAAACCCAAAGGAAACATTAGAAAAACTGGAAATCTAGGATAAAGCAACAAAACTGTGGATATTTTTGTCTCCAATATTAAAGAAGAACAAGTCATTGAGAATGATAAGAATGACCATCCATATGATTAAATGCACGGGTATTAATGCACCACTAAGTCGAAGCAACCTTTGTGAATAATAATTTCACAATCAAGAACCAGACTTATTCATATTTTTCTATATGTGAAATAATCCAAGTAGTACCCATGCTTTTTGTAAAATCTGAAAACGAGATATACTCTACCAATTTACTGATCAGATTTTTCAAATGACATAAAAGTTATAAAGTGAGAAACATACCAATGCAACAAAGAAATAGGCCACTACATCTGAGGATTTGATTGCTTGAGATTGCATCCATGTTTTTCTAATAGCCATGCGTTCTGCAAAGTGATTAGTGGCAGACAGAATGCCAATAAAAACACGAATAGGATTACGGGGTAATGGGGAAGACTTCCATTTCTCTGAGAAGTCCAACACTCTTTGGGGTGAGAAGCTTGGATGAGAAGTTGGGAGAGAGGTTGCAAAAACTGAGTGAACTTTAACATCACCTCTTATAGACAACCCTGTTGCATCTTCCAGTGTGAATCCCTAGAGAGAAACAATAAGCCACTAAAACAACTGGAATATAACATCAAAACAACTGACATTGACCTTACCAGTCAACACTTTACTTTTTTAACAGATATATGAGCTCAACAGGGCATACGAGACGAAGAATAAAACATATCTAAGGCGAGCTTAAGAGCCCATGTACCAAGGCCTAAAATAGGAATCTGCTAAAATTGTGTCTTTTTGGGTTGAATTTGGCTATTTATCAAAAATAGTTAATTAAAATATATTTTTAGAGTATCTTAAAGAAATTAAAAAAAATGAAGTTTGAAGCGTCATTTTCACTAACTTCAGCCATTTAGACAAAAAAGTGACTTGTGCACAAAAACAACCTTTTTTCATTATTAATTTATTACCGATCATCCGACACTGAAATAAGTTTGTATTTTGAAAAAACGAACTGGCTTATATGTTGAGTAATTGGAAAATTGCCCACTGGAAGGGCAACAAATTTCCTTGATAGACGACCATGGGAATCAACTCACTAATGTGCTCTCAAAAGTGTGCCCTTATTCAATGTTAACATCATGTTCATCTATTTAGTGTACTAGATATTGTTGTTAGGTAAAATCATACACTTATACTCAAGGACATTGTAACAATTGAAGTCCACCGAGGAAAGTTAAATAGGTTATCAGAATTTAAGTAAATCGAGTGTTGATGCTTATGAGTACATACAAACATACCGTTCGGTATGGAAATGAAGAAAGATGTCGTCCACCCACACTTATATGAAACCCATCGATGCCAGCACGGACAGTGAGAATAAACATTTTACCCTCCACAAAGGGAAATGGCCAGGTCAGCTCCGGCTTCTTTGCTCGTCCTATAAACCGATCAAACCAAGAAAATATTTTGGACTCTTTTGAAGCGTTAATGTCATTTCGCATCCATTTTTCACATCTCAAATGCCCATCAACTGCACGAGAAGGTGATTAAGCAGCAAAAAGAATGATTAAGTAAGATCACTCATTTTTTCTAGGAAATACATAGGATGTCTATCTTGGGGAAGAAGAGTTGCATAAAGTTGATAGGTATATTATGTGTTTAACTTAATACATAGCACTTCATATCACTAAAATATTTCCTCTTTCTATTTTTAGCAAAACGCGCATATCCCCCATAACTTTATCTACTAGTTCATATGGAAGTTATATGCATATAGAACTGTTCTTTCTCACTTCACATTACAGGTTTAGATTTTTAAAATGTTACATAATATTTGAAGCCTCCTACGTGGATCGCAATTACCTTTTTATTCCCTAATTCAGACATCACGGGTGACTATATAAGCATTATAATTGGGAAAATTTTCTTTTGGCCCCTCACCTTTTTAAAATATGGTTATTTATGTATCTTAAACGATTGAAATTTGTTCACTCACATGACATATAACTAGTAAATTTAACATTGTGTCATGGTGGTGATTTAAATATCAAAACTACTTTCTGAAATCATTATTACTACCTCACCTATAAAAAGTTCTTCCTTTCTAATATTGAAAATAATATTGCAAAAACAAGACCGTTTTGAGGGCGCGGGGGGCTGAAGGGGAAAGTATAAATAGTGCTAACATGTTAACATAACTACTGAAGCAAGATGCCAAAATTTCTCTATCGGATACAAGTGAGGGATCACAAAAATTAATTAAATACATGGATTAAGACAACATATTAAATAACATTAAAGTTCCTAAAAATGGACCTTACTAAAATTTCCATTTTAAAATATTTTAACTAATTTTTGCATTAAAAAGGAACATACGACATTTACACCTTTGGGTACTGATTTTAAAATTTTACCAACAGATGTGGTAGCAAATGAGAACAAGTCAGTAAGTTTTTTAACAACAGAGTGATTGTCTGATTGGATTTTCAGGGTACGGATTTTCAGGGTATTAAGGATTCTTCATCCCATTTACAGGCCATATAAAAAGAAAAAAGTGGAAGAAGCCCCTTTTTGGAAAATTAAAAACTATCAGTTCCTGATACAGAAAATACTATAATGACAACTATTTCTGCTTCCTTTCATCATATAAAGGGCATAGACCTCTAGCTTCTCTTCTGTAACAAATAGGAAGTAAAAAAGAGGTACATGTTGGCCAATTTTCTCTACAAAGTTTAAAATAGGGTTTCCGAATGTTGGTTGTATATGCTCCCTTCCAGAAATACTTCATCAAAATTAGTTTCAGTTCACAATAACAGTTGCAAACAATACACCCACAACACAGTAATAATTCACTTAAAAGCTCTTCTTACCAAGCATATCCTCATCACTTAGGGAAGGTATACCATCACACCTGTGAGATTTACCCCATTGCATCCTATAGCAGGTATTATGCTCAATTACTGGCCGGTGGCTCCAATCTCCTCTCAACCGAGGGTTCAGATGCAAAATCTTTGGTGGGTCCTCCCCAACCACAGACTTCAAGCCTTGTAATTCAAACATAAATTGGGAGACTAAAACAAAAGCGTCTCTGTGACTTCTCTTAGCAAGCTGAGGCACATACTCACGATGCGCATAGCCCGGAGTGGCAATCACTGTGACAGAAGAGCCGGCTGAAAGGCCACATGGAAGGAGCATAGCACTGTCCCTTTTAGCCAAATCTTCCCCATTTGTGGTGATGGAGGATGGGCATGATTCAGGCATTCCCTCAATTATGGAATTTGTGATCATCTCCTTCTCGTCATATTCATCTGCTTCTTCCCACGCCTTTAACCCTAAATTCCAAGCTTCCTCTGCCATTCTGTCCAATACAGTAAGATTACCAGTCATGCCGGGTCTGTTTAAGACTGCAGTTGCTATTCGACCGTAATCGATCCTATTATGAGGCTTTACAGGTGCATCGAAGTTAGGATTATTTTGAAGAATCCGGTTATAATCATCTATGTAAACGGAACCCAGATGCCGTTTCTTAAGTTCTTCTTCACCATCTTCTTCCTCCCCGGTAAAGAATGCATCCATACCCATATTAGCAGTATCTCCATTGTCACTGCTAAAAGCTGTGGCGCTCTCAAGAAACTCCGGGAACTTAAAGCAAATGATAATCAAATAAAATCCAGATAAACCCAAGAGAATATATGACAATCTGAATCTCCTCATGTTGGGTACCTCATTTTTCAACCTCTTCATTTCTACGAATTCATGAATCGCAAGAAAACTCAGGTCGTGTGCTGAAAATGACTCCGGCCCAATTCTTATACGCACCACAAAGATCAAACTACACACTTAAAATGGCTCCCCCAATACTTGGACATCCAAACTAATCGCCCTCAACTTCAACTGAAATCCTGCTGCCGTAATCTTATTAAAAAACACACAACCAAAATTCAAGATAGAAGAAGATACGGATATGCAAAGCAATGATCTAGTAGCGGTAAGTAATTGACGGGGTAACTAATCAACAATTACCGTACACTGACATGAATAAAGTATGTGCCCAGAATATTTGAATATAAAAAAAAGTTCAATACTGGAGATGTCTACAAGAGACGGAGGTCGGGGAAATCCAAATTGCTGAAGAAACGCGACCTTGCCCGAAAGTTTCTACCCCAGCGATTGGGCGGGGGAATGATCAATGATGAATTGATGTCACTTGCTATTTCTTACAGTTTGACTCTTCTTTCTGTCAATTTCCCCCAGATTTCGAGTTAGCTATGGTTTTATTTAGGAAGTACTCGCTCCTCAAGAAACTTGGCCAATTTTTTTTAATTGATTTACACGTAAATTAAAATTTGTGTGGTTAAAATTTGTGCAAATGAGGTATAAATAACTTTAATCACATATTACTTCAAAAGAAAATTCGGCCAAATTTTATGGGATAGAGGAGTATTTTTGTTCATATTTATCTATTGTTTTAATAATGATATTATGAATTCATAATCGGCTCTTTGTTTCCAAAAACAAAGAAAAAACTAACTCTTAGTAATGAGAGAAAGACATAAATAGGACTAAAACAAGGAGAATTCTTGGTGTACATGTTATCGTACACACCAGTACACATCCGTGTCTATGAGAGGTTTTTTGTCTGTGAATGCCAATTCACAGACAAAACCTGACTTGTTTTGTCTGTAGAATTTTCCACAGACAAAACAACCTGTTTTTGTCTGTGAACTGGCATTCACAGAAAAAAAAAACTCTCACTGACACAGAGGTGTACTGATGTATATAAGAACGTGGATACAAGGAATTTTTCCTAAAACAAAGACCATGAATTTAAATAGGAGTTACAACTTTTTGAACCCTAAATATGACTAACTTTGATCGGAAGGGATAAAAAGACCCTTATGTACTCATGCATACAACAGCTGCCAACATAGTTAACATGCTCCTGGAGTAACTCTTCTCATCGAAGAGAAAGACCATTGGAGAACACCGGAGTAATTCTTCTCGTAGGTGCCCACTGGAGATGTGCGGTTTTCACTGGCGATCTACCGCAACTCGTTGCCGGAGTAGTCGACGGGCCCTAGTCTTCTTCTTTTCTTTCATCGATCTTAGCTCTTTTCTTCTGATATGCCGATCTACTTTTCGAATCGGTCTTCTTCTTCTTCTTCTTCTTCTTTTTTTCATTCTTCTTTTCTGTAGCCGGGTGTGAGTCTCTATTGCTTTCTTTTTCTGATTTTGTTCGTGCCGGTGTGCCCTGCAATACATCATAATACACTTTCATTCTAGTTTGACATTTCAATTTGTTAACTTTTTCAATTTCAATTTTTACTTAGTACTACGTATTTAATCGTATTATTTTTGCCGTTTTATTTTCTTTTGCAGATTCACCCAAATAATTAATTTTTGGACCGTTTTTCATATTTTAGTTTAATAACTTTTTTCACTGATAATAAATAGTTTGACATGAAATTATAATGATAAATCTTTACGGTGATAGTATAATCTTGATATTAATGTTTTTTGTGACTTGAAAATGACAATACCAATGTTAATGTCAATGACAAATATAATTAAAAATAATGTCAATACGTTTATTAAAACTTATATCGTTTATATTAAAAAATAAACATGGTGACTTTATTTTCATCGCTTACATTGTAAAATTATTAGTTTATTACCGTGTCATGTAGTGAGATTGAGTAGTAATAGTGTGATATTGTAAAAAGTAACATTGTTCTCGATGATGACATATTGTCATTGCTTTTGTTAGGTCCCTGTTTTTTAGTCTATAAAATGTATGTATGGAAGATAGATCTGGGAATGAAGCTTTCCATTGATGGTGAAGGTTTTACAGAATGATATGAAAGTTAGCGTAAAAACCTTACACGCAAATAGGCACTGCGGCACAGAGAATGTTACGAAAAGCTTAACCTAGCCTTTCCCTTAAGGCATATATATAGCCTGACGGGAAAGGTAGGTTTTACAATTATTTGGGCTCCCTTTTCTAGGAGGCCCATACCTAAAAAGGTATAAAACCTTTATTACAAAATTGCCTTAAAGGGCCTATTCATTATTCTAGCTAACTATAAACTAGCAAAGTAACATTGATCACAATTATAATAAAAATATCTCTAACAATCTCCCCCTTTGTGATCAGATGTTCTTGCTTCTTCTTTTCTTCACTTCTGAGCTTTAAAATAATGCTTTCTAAGATTTAGTGCATGCTCGTAATTTCTGAGAGACCTTCTTCTGTCTAGTTGTTTCTCGATGGCTTTCAAGATTTTATTGACTCTTTCCAATTCTTTGATTTCTTCCTTCGAGGCTTCATTCTGTCTTTTATCTAGCTCTTCTTTCCTTGGCTGGAGCTGTTCTCGGATGATTTGCAGGGTCCCATCACAGTATTTTTGAATGTCTTCAACAATCATCAGACGCTTCTCTTCTTTGTGATTCAGATAAATGACTGAGATGGGCTTGTCAAATGTATCATATGCTGCAAAGGTTTCAAGCCCAGGTCTATCCAAGTCCGGTCGTGTAAGATTTGCCTTTGAATAATTGTGCTCAAGAGTCATCTGGAGATCATGGGAGGCGTAGAACCGAACTTGTCTTGTCATGAATCTCTTAATGGCCTCAAAACCTTCTCTAGCAAGTCTGTCTTTGTGCACTGGGAGCTCCCTGCATCTCATGAACATTTGATAAATATCATCCATGTGCAGTAGGAAGAAGTCATTCTCTTGACAGGTGAACTCCGAGCCATCTGTACGTCGTAGACGAAAGATCAGGAACTTAATCGTTTCCAAGTAGTCTTCTGTGATATCCAGGATTTTTGATATAGGACATCCACTTGTTGCGAGATTGTGATTTAGAACTTGTCTTCGTTCCCCTGTGGATCTGTGTCCTAGCATATACAGGTTACCTCCTCGGTATTTTCCTTTCAAGTGATTGATTCCTCGCATTTTTAATTCACTGAACTTCTTGATTTTTTCAGGTTGTCGCCAGATTTTCTCTCGGATTTCTTCTAGGAAGGGGGCTTTGATTCTAACAATTTCCCATTTTTCTTTGGCTGGTTCAGGTGCCTTGGGATTTTCTTTATGATTCTCCCCTTCCTTGAGTTCATCTTCATCGAGTCCAATCATTTGTGCATGATATTTGTTGAGGAATTCTCTGAGTTGCCAGCTTCGACACATTTCGTACTGCTCCGCTTCCACTCTAAGATCATCCCACTCTGTCCACTCGCGAGGCCACTGATCATGAACTAGAAGGTCTTCCAGTTCATCTTGTATTTGATTACCAGAGGGCTTAGAGTGAGCTTGTTGTTGTGTCGAAGGCGACCTGTCATGTGAAGCACCGGGATCCTCAGGATTGCCCGTTATCATCAGATTAGAACTAGGTTCTTTCTGATGGCCTGAATAGAATGGTGTACTCGAAGTAGCAACCTCAGGACTTCCACTCCATCCTTGGTCTACATCTATGAAAGATGAGCCTAGGAGTGTTGTTTCTAGCTCGACCGGGCTAGATGTGGGTGAGTTGGCTGTTTGGCTTTTATGATGAGTGGATGGTGGGGGCTGATTGTTCGAGGATTCAGGTTGGTTGGATTGCGTAGAGGGTTGGCTTGTTGACGCATCACGCTCAAGTGTCCTTTGTCTCTTGTTCTCCCCCTCATGAGGATCCGAGTCATCGGGGTCCTCATGCGAACGTTTGTGACCTAGGAGACTATCACGGCATGAGCTGTCAGGCTTAAGGATCCGAAGAAGGTCTTTTTGTTTCTGGGTTAGGTTGCCTTCTTCGGTAGCTAGTAGTTGATCTAGCATTAGGTTCTCGAGTACCTCGAACGGTAAAGTTTTAGGGTCAGGAAAAGGTGTGGTCGAAGTAGGGGAGGACACTAGTTCTGTATCCTGGGTTCCCCTTGAAGCAGTAGGTGAGTGAGGTAGGGTTGTGGATGGTTCAGAGGTTTGTTGGGTAGGTATGATAGGAAGTGGTTGGGTTTGTTGGGTATGTGAGGATGATGGTTGGGGTTGGGTGATGTCATTTAGCAACGCCGGGGTGTTCCTGAATTCCTGTGCCCGAGCGGTTATTGCTTCGTGCACCCATGGTTTAATGGTGGAATCCAAGAAACGCTGCAGAATGACAGAAAGGTCGGTAGGGTCAGGGTTACCGGTTACAGGGGTAGTAACCGTTGTCACAGCATCAGTAAAGATTACCGATGTGTGGCCTGCAGATAATGATGGAGATATCTGTTGAGCAGCAGGACTTCCGATCATCATCGACTTATCTCCGATCGTTGAGGACAGGTAAAGTGCACCTGTCGTGTGCGGTGGTGTGAGCAGTGTATGTGTCCTAGAAAATGATGAAAATGTTGGGATGGTGGAAACTAGACTCAATGTGCTAGAAGGAGGGGTAGTGGTCTGGGGCGGAAGACCACAAAGTAAATCCTCAGCTGCTTCGTAAGGAGGCAGCGAGGTGGGTAAAAGATCCCCTATTTGTGAAACTACTACCTGTTGGGAGGCAGCAGAGTGGCTAGGTGAGGCTTGTGCATGCGCAGTTGGGCTAGATGCTGCGTCTTCTACTCGGAGACTGAAAATATCAGCCTCTGCACCTATGGGGTTAGCCCGGTTTATGGTGTCAAGGTCAGAGCAGCTGTCATATAAAGCTAACTCTTCTGCCAGGTTGTTCGCGGTTTGCACTCTTTGCACAGGAGTAGATGATGAGGCAAGATCATGACGCACCTTGGAGCGAGTCTCACTGATGATATTTCCTTGAGTGTCCTTGATTTGGTGAGACTGCTCTTGTGTTGTAGCCCGAGAAAGCCTGATAACGAGTCGTCCTTTCTTAGCGCGGGCTTTCTCGACTTTCTTGCCCTTTGCATTGGCATTGTCGTCGTCCTCATCATCATCATCGTCGTCGTTCCTAGCCTTGCTCCCAGAGCCCTCATCGTCAGCGTCTTGTGTTGTGGCTACGCTTGGCGAATCACGGGTAGTCTCTTCAGCACGGGTGTGGCCCTCAGCAGACATAGTCTGATCATCATGGGGCCGGCTTGCCACTGGTCTCTGTGGCCGGGTTGAACTCTCAGGACCCTCACATACTCTCGGCTGACTCCCCGGGGTAGGCTCAGGGGGGTTTATCTGAGCCATAGGGAGTATGATGTTGTTCTCCTCGCTGTAGCGTATGACATGTGGATCATTTCGACCGGCTAACAGGAGGAGAGGGACAGGAATAGGTAATGGTACCAATGTGCGTACCTCTGGC